GGTATTTCTAAATTTTATATTGGTTTTTGGAAAGTATAATAACTTCCTTTAGAATTCGCAAGCTTTTTCAATCTGTTGTTCTGTAACTTCTTTTTGTTTTGTGAGAAATCAGCGTTTATATGATTTATAGTTAGGTTTTCTAACCAAATGGAGCTTGTAATATGTGTAATAGATCACTACAAGAAAACAGTCGATTACCGACTACAGCTTCCGATTATTAATGTAGTCGCCAATTTTACCGACTATTATTTCACTATTTTACGACTATTTAACGACTAAAGAAAAGTAGTCGTAAGTTAGTCGCCAAAGAGCGACGAAAACAGGTTGTCAGTAATGTAGTCGCTATTTGGCGACTATTTACCGACTAATAAGTAGAATATATATTCTAGTCGTATATTAGTCGCTAATTTAGCGACTATTTTCCGACAGTATATATTAGTCGCTAGTTTGGCGACTACATTACGACTCTTTTGGCGAGTCGTAAATTAGTCGCCAATTTGTCGTATTTTACAGTTAAGAAACACGTTTTTTTCGTTTGTGGTAGGTGTACCGGTTTTTTGGCGACTACAACTTTTAGTCACCAATTAGTCGCCAATTAGTCGCCCAAAAATTGTCTATATAAAAAGAAAACAGCACTCACTCTCTTCACTCATCTCCTCCTCTCTCTTCCTTCACATAAGAAAAAAAAAACGAATTCGAAAAAAAAAAACGAATTTGGAATAAACACTTTTCAAAAAATTAGTTTCTTTATATTTTATTGGTAATGACGGGAAATTACAATTATGGCGGTAATGGTGGTTATCGGGAGTGGATGTACAAACAGTTCGACGAAGTGACGGGAAATTTGTCAGCAGAGTACGTAGCCGGTGTGGAGGAATTCATGACGTTTGCTAATAGCCAGCCTATAGTACAGAGTAACCGCGGTAAATTTCACTGTCCTTGTAGTGTGTGCAAGAATGAAAAACATATGGTCTCGGGTAGAAGAGTTAGTAGTCATTTGTTTAGTCAAGGATTTATGGCAGATTATTATGTTTGGTATAGACATGGGGAAGAACTCAATATGGATATAGGAACGAGTCACACTGATAGGACATATCAAAGTGAGAATCATGAAGAGGTGGGTTATGTTGTAGAAGATCCTTAAGTGGATATGGTGAACGATGCATTTCGTTATAACGTGGGGTTTGATGATAACTATGATCAGGATGGTAGTTATCAGAATATCGAAGAACCAGTACGTAACCATTCAAATAAATTTTATGACTTGTTAGAAGGTGCACAAAACCCATTATACGATGATTGTCGTAAAGGTCAATCGCAGTTATCGTTAGCTGCTCGACTCATGCATAATAAGGCGGAGTATAATATGAGTGAAAAGTTAGTGGATTCGGTTTG